TGTGCACAATTCATGCATATTACCATATCACAGATTTGATAATTTTCCAAGAAACATATTTATATATATGTCCATATGCTATATATTTTGGATTTAGACATTTCAATAGAACACGAGATTAGTTAAGGTCACACACAGTTTTAAAAAATTGATCATCGTGTAATTATTTAAGAAAGAACGATGTTTTTTTCATATTATTGTACAGACAAGTTATTATTTTGCTCGTTGGTTGACTGATTGACAATACTACTTACTATAGAGAAAATGAAACAATAGTTTATATTAGGGGTAAAGGTGTGACATATTTAAAAATGAAAATTAATCAATGAAACCGAAAAAGACATCAGTGTTTTCTTTTCTGACAAAAAAAATTGGTCACATTTCATGAACGTTTTTTTTTAACTAGTTACTCAAATCCTGCTTTCGGTTTTTTCTTTTGACTAACTAAATTACATTAGCCTCCATTACATCTGCTCCAATAAACATCAGCTGCTAAAGAATGAACTAAATGAGTATTCAGAATTCGATAAATAAAGTTTCTTATGTCAACACTCTATTCAGGGATTTAAGTAAAACACATACAGTAACAAGAAAGTTATAGTTGATGTATTCAACATAAAGATTTGATCTTTCTGTTAATAGTTAAACAAAAAATTTATTATTTGAGTTTTTGGAATTCACCGCACTGACTGAAATTGAACAATTTATGATTTATTGTTTTATGTTATGACATTTTTTATATGTTAACCAACATATACTTTTTCGTGTAGAACCCTAATCCAACGTTACATAAACTCATTTATAGCTAAAAAAGGTAAGTATTACATAAAATGATATGAATTCTATTAATTCATGAGTTTATAGTTGTTAACAATGATTTATTTCCTGTTACGATAAATGAAATTAACATAAAAATAGACTAGCGTATTACCAACAATGTGTCGCTTATAAATTCACTGAAATTTTTATGCAGACTGAAGAATTCACAAGAAGTATCCAAGGTTTATAATAATAGATCTATGGGTTAAGTTATTATAAGTTATTCTAATATATAACTTAAGGGAAAATAATGATTTTTACATTGAATGAACATGACATATCAACGACTGTAAATTAGTATATCAAGGGCTTGATAAGAATTCTTGAATTTTATAGTTCATATTAAGAAAAGATCTTAATTAGAGGATCAATGAAAACCAGGAAGCGCTGGGACTTCTCACTAGTGCTCAGCCATTATTTTATTTTTCTTAGATCTCTGAGTTATGTTCAGTAGCAATTAATTTTGAAAAGCTATTCGCAGGGTCCATGATTAGTGAGGTTCACTTATGTTGTGCGAGGCATTCACTCCTCACTGACTCAACACAATAGTTACGTAATTCCGTAAATCGACTGAAATTTGAGATTTCAAACCAGTGGTATACAAATTAAATAATACCTGACTGATTTGACTATATTGGGTTCGACACCTGACGGAATCATAGGTTCTTGCTGTTGCGGAGTCCCATTCTGTGATTAAATAGTTGTCTATTTATAGTTTTTATTGGTTGTTTAAGTAGAGTATATCCATGATGTAAACTCTAAGATTATGAACAACACTAATTTATATGGTTGAAGGTGAGAAGATTTGTGACTACTAAAAGTGAATGTTACTTATAATGAATGTGTTAGTTACCGGAGATTTTGAAATTAATGAACATCTAGCTTACTGTAAGTGATTTCCAGTATTTCGTGTTACTTACTTACAAGTAATGTATTATGACCCGGGGGAAATTATCGGCCTAAATAATAACATGTAGTGGTAAATGAACAGCAGGTATCATTCAAAGGTTTTAGGTGAATTATGCATCGATGTTTGTTTACATTAAATGTGTGTTCAATGGTTTACAGATTTCTGCTGATTTCTGATGGTATACACTAAAATTCTCTACAAACAAGCTTTATATTTACTTTCCACATACAGATCAAAACAATCACGTTTTATGTACAGTTAACAGAAAATAAAACTTATTTACTTTCAAGTCACAGTTGTTTGTTTTAATTCAGAAATTATGTTCTTATCAAGGTAACAGCTATGACAATTGCGCGAATTGACTGTTCGATAAATTATATTTCGATAGATTTGTAATTTATCAATTGTTTACATATGCACAAATTTACTGTGATCCTGATGACCACAGTGACTTGAAGTTCAAATTTTGCAAATGTTATCTTATTTGTTCATTCTTTATTTACACTCACAAATATACACAAACACAGTCAGTGAAGTATTATAAGAAATAACAACAGATTTCCGGTGCTTTGTTTATGTTAACGTTTGAATAAACATTCAAAATGTACAAAAATAAACCAATCAGAAATGAATGATGAAAATGAAACCATCTTTAATTTCTAAAACAAAGAACAAGATCTTTCAGTCAACAGAACTACATGCAATTCGATAAGAAGAAGAGGATAAGAATTTTGTTTTTTAAAAACACACACAGAGAGAGAAGAAACATCAAAGAGTTTGCAAGTTTTCATTAGTTCAAATCATTTCGTTCCGTTTGATTACACATGAAACAAGATCTTTGTGAACAGTTCTTATTACCTTTTGTATATTATGTATGTATGTGTGAATGTAAAATAATGGATGCATGAAAGAAAAACTGTGATTTAAAAGGAAATAGTCAATTATGTTTAAGAAAAAGTAGAACAAGATAGAGAGAACTATATGCAAATAGTATGATAAAGACTTTTGATGTCGCCATGTTTTTTTTTTCAGGTCAAACTTAAGAGGTTTATTGGTTTTTCATATACATAGGAGTGTGTGTATCTCATTTCTTTCATGCATAGGTGTTATTTTTAAACATAAGAGTATATTTAGTCAAACTAAAAAAAATTTTTTTGGTTGTTTAGGCATGGTTTTCCTGGGTGTTTGAAATATGAACAAAGGATTTTATAGTCAATGCTGACATTAAACGGGTAGTTAGAAAAGTTTTTCATTGGGTTATAAAAATGTTTGCTGGTACATGCTGAAATTATCCACAGTGTTCAGTAGATATATATGTGGGTATGCATACGACTAGTGGGGATTCAGGTTTCCATTCCTTTTTATTTTAATATTAATCTAAAGTAGGCGAAGAAAACAATATAAATTATTACACCGAACAAGAGTTAACTATGTTGTATTAGTCAGGGATTCATCAAAAATTTCATATCTTTAATTAGTTCTGACACGGTAATCAGGATGTTTAAATCTCAAAACGGTTGTGTTACTCAGACGCTAATGAGATTTCTCAAATCGGACTTAAGTGATTTTTGGTAACCGACTTACGTACAGTGGAGAGAAGAGCAGTGATAAATAGTGTGAGAAATGACACACATGACTTCCCATGCAATCCTTTCAGCTTAAAAGCAATAGAGATACTGGAAACTAACAAGTTGAAGAACATATTAATCAAAATATTAGTAATAATATTGTTAATAATACTGGTAGGTTCTGGTTTTAAAACAATATTTACCCCACAGAATAATAAATGTTCTTCTAATTTGTGAATTCAGCTGCTAACATCATATCGATCAGTAAAACTAATTTTCACCATTTAAATATAATATTACCAGGTTTATGAATTCCTTTAGTGTTTCAAGGAGAAAAGATCGCTATGGATAACAACCAATTTAAGTCTTTCTTTCCTAAGTTAGGTAGCTTCACTGAGTGGGATTCATTATATTTTCTAAGTTTAGTAAATTGAGTTAGAAATCTTTAAATTCAGTTATTTGTAAACCTAAGGGTGATTTGGAATTTAAATATTAGTACCGAAATAGCATGAATATTTGTCTATAAACATTTAACTACTCATTATTATTTAAGTAACTAGTTGTGATTCAGAGAAACTTTGGGTTAGACTTGATTGTATTTTTTCCACTAACACAAATTTGTGAGAGCTGGTAAACTTTGATAAGGTTTGTAACTAATATTGTATGATAAACTAAAATATTATCGTCAAAAAGCTCTTACTATAATGTTGTTTTATTTTTAAAACTAAAAACCACCACTATTATTTATTTTGTTTCTCGATGTAATAATGTTTTGATATTTAAAAATAGGTTTAGGTTCCAATTTTAGCATTTTAATTAGAACTTTTTATCTACAGAAAAGATATAGTCGTTGGTCAGATACTGTGATAATCACTGATTACACTTAAACTGATTAGTACTACTGGTTAACTATATTTTTATGCTCGTTTGATTGTTGAAAGTTGGATTTTGTTTTGTATCAGAATTATTGTCAGGTCGCATTTAACGAAGTATACTGAGTTATATTAAAACAGTAGCCATGAATGAACTGAGTTTTTTTTCAAACAATCGATGAATGAAAGGCAAATTAATGCCAGCTTATGAAGCTCTTGCTGATCATGTTAGTAGAAAATAGTCAAAGGACAAAGGTGTATATATACTTAAGTTAAGACATTGGGCGATGAAGCGAGAGACATACATTCAACATTTAAAGTGTCTCAAAGAATACTGATTACTTTGATGTCTAAAATGAAAACCTTCTAAACACGCGTAGTTGTAAAAAATTTACAATTAAGTATTAGTTATGAGTGAAATAATCCGAAATTGTTGCCTACATGCTAAAGTGATTCGGGTAAGAACATATTTTGAAAATCGTATCAGTTTCGTGATAATCAGTTATCAGAATTATATATGAGTTGGGATTTCTCTTTTGAATTATGTTGTCACCACTGTAGGACACAGGTTAATGGTTGTTTAGTACATTGCAGTTCTTAGGACTTCTATTCAATACATTTTCATTCCTAAAGAGTCCGAACAATTGACTTTATAGGAAGCAATGTACGCTTACTGGTATATCAACGATTAATGTTTAGTGAAAAGAATCATTTAAAGTATCAACAATATATAACAGTGAAAATAATCGGATAGCATATAATTGAAAATGAAAAAAAACAAACAATGAAAACTATATTTTATGAAGTTTTAAAATGAACTATGTAATTTACCTGATTTAAAGAATTTAGAGTTACAATTGAAAATTTGTTCAATCTCATGTTCAGAAAATTGGGAGCATTTAGTTCGAACAATAGTACACTATATAGAAAAGACAGTTGACAAATTAAAATTATTTAGCTTTTCAAAAAAAAGGAATTAACACGAAAAATATTAGATTTAAATAATTTTTGGTTGATATAATAAGCTAAATATTATTGTTTTGTTAACAAAAATAAAACGACTGAACTGATTGAAATTTCTTGGAGTATAGAGTTTTTGATCATATTATATACAGATACCTATGAGGCATTTCTAGCATGTGTTGGAACCACTGAAATGCTGAATAGCATTTGGAAAAACTGATAAATAGTTATGAAGGGATCTCATCAACACATATTATGAGTTCATAGAATCATTGATTAATGGAATCAATCATGTTTGAGGGAATGGGTTTATAATTAAGATATTCGGCCTTCGACCTATAGGCAACAGGTTCAAAACCCACTCTTATCATCATCATCAACAGCAATGTAGAACTTTGCACGTAAGTACAGCAGTTCAAACTGCCATACCACGTTAGCACAGAGATATAATTTTCAACTCAAATCCTATGGTAGTAGAGGTAGTAAAAGTATTAGAAGTAATCGGAGAGATTAGGGTTCGAAGACATTATTCAAGAAGTATAATTCAGTTAGGTAAATTTATAAAGAGAAAGATAGAGGTGATGAGTAGTTCAAAGGTTTGAATTTCATAGGACACAAAGAGTAAACGCCCCTGCGCCATCTCAAACGGTTTTGAGCCATGTCATACAGGGTCTCTAACCATCGGTTATTATCGTCTCGCGGACCCCAACCAGATAGCCTACATCTACCGACATGACTTAGTTCACTTGTCGGGGATCTGATGGATTTGTGCCATGTTTTGGTCTGGCCGCCCCTAGCTTTCGTCCAAGCTATTTCCACATCACAAAACATAGCTCGACGAGGCAGTCGGTGGTTAGGCATACGCAACACATGTTCCAACCACCTCAACTGATGAATTTTCATTACTTCATCGATTGACCTGCCATCCTTACTTAGCACCCGTTTTCTAACAACAGCATTGCTTATACGGTTGTCCCGCGATACTCGAGCAATGCTTCGGAGACACCTGTGATCGAAGACCAGTAACATACGAATATCTTGTACTCTGATTCGCCATGTTTCAAAACCATAAAGTAGGACAGAGCGAACTACTGTGCAGTACACTCGTCCTTTAGTTAGCAAACGGATATCTCGCCTTTGACATAAATGACGAAGGTTGGCAAAAGTCAATCGATCTTTCTGTATCCATGCTGCAAAACCCATTCTATCCACTTCAGTACGGGGAAGCATGTAATAGTGATTATGGGCTTCATGTAAAGTAGGAGTCATATCTTTCATTTGTTTGTAACGTTTTTGTGTAATCACAATTACATCCAACATTAGCTGTTTATTTGTGTCAGTTGTGAACGAACAATAATTGCTTGGTTTATTGCTGCGCTGCCTTTTTTCGGTACAAATAATTCTCATCTCCGCCATTCATTTTTCTGTTTTATCGGTCATGGTCTGTAGTTTAGAGATTTTGATAGTGTAGCAAGATTCTTCATTAGGCCGCTCTTCACTACGTGGAACTATTGGGCCTGGAATTTTACTGGCTATATTTCTATTAGATAGATATATTTTCCGCGTCACGACGTTGATACTTATTACTGTGAAAAACATTTGTTGAACTGAGAGAACTCTATTTGTGGTGTTAATCCTAAAATAAATTTCTAGGATACATTTCTCACATACCGTCTATTAATGTATTATTGTTTACTATACTACTTTGGAGTGCTATTTTTCTAATATTTATTCTTTTTTGTGAATAGTCATGTAAGTGTAGTGGTGACTTTAGCATAATATTAACTGCCTTGTAGTTACCAAATCTTAACTAAGTACTTTTACCGGTCCACTACACATGTACGATAAAAGATATGATATTCAAATCAGAGTACCTACCAGCACATACCAGAGTACAAACACCTTTAGCCAGTAAACAAATTCCAAACGTTTATTTCCTCAGACTTACAATGATATGCTTTACACCTGGTCACAGTGGTTCATTTGTATTCAATATCTAGCTTCATCTAGATCATGAGTTCGGACATAATTTCGTACTTTTGTCTTGCCATTTGATTACTTATTTTCGAAATATATCCTTCAGGTTTACCATCGTTGTTACAGTTATGACTTAGATTTATTTGATTTTTATTTTAAGTTTGTCATTTGATATGGTAGCCTGAAATATGGCAACTATGGTTGATGCACATATATGTTAGATTCTAATTTGTTCATGGGCAAATAAACCAATTTCAAATGATGGGTCCCAAAAGAAAAGGAAATTTCTAAACTATGACGTTGAATAACCTGAGTGGTGACCAATCAGTGACTAAAGTAATATGAGTTTGTTACTCATATAAGAGATATATGACAGCTCTAAAATAAAGGTGGATTTGATGTAACAAGCAGGATTAGGTATCATGGATGATGCCAAGAGATGATTATACTATAATAATAAAGTGACTACAACCAAAACGTCCTGGAAACCAATAACTTTGAAATTTTAGTTTAAAATCATTTGTTTTAGGTTTATAACGGGAGCATTGGATGATGAGGACTTTTTATATGTTGAAAACAAGAATAAAACCTTAATTGGAAAACCAGTGAAAAATAGGAAGCATTAGACAACCATTTCATCATAGAATAGGACACCTAAGCTGTGTTTATTCACAGTCCTAATATTTATTGAACTGAAGACATTTAGTTCTTGCTGTAAGCATTTAGCCGTCAAAGCAATGTACCGTCATCCAACAGTTTACATGATTAACGTCAGTCAATTCGGTGTATTACATAACCGTCTCCCAATGCTATTAGTGGATAATTGCCACATACTCATTGTACTACTTCGTGTATTTCTCAGGAGATCCAGTTTTGGATAAAGTGACTGTCTAGTACGTCCTGAATTTCAATCAGACAATCTCGGCAAACTAATCACTATACTAGGATGGAATGACTATTTTCTGGCGTCTAATATTAACTAGTAGCACAATAAACATTATCAGTATTGTGTTAAATCTGTTACAGATAAAGATTATGCCAAACATTTATCATTCATATAAAATTTGGACAACAAAGTCAACCTTTGAATAAAAAACTTACAGAATTAAGTTTTCGTAAATAATCACAGATTATTTTAGCCGATTGAATAGATGCTTCATGTGGAAATATTGTAATTAGCGCAGATTTATTGAATTGTGTTTCTATTACTTGATTTAAAGATTGAGGCAAGGTATTATTATTTAATGATTTATTGCCAATTGTAAAAGGAATAACAGAGTTTTCAGTTGAAAAAGATAATGGAATTGACATTAACGGTTGTAAAAGAGACATAGAGTCATCTCCTATAGAAAAAAAATATAGTTCAATTAAAAAAAAAACCAAAATTAATTATTCAATATGTGAAAAATTCATTGTCAATTACTAAATGAAATAAACAAATAAGAATTCCTCCAAATATGTGAATGTAATATAATGTGAACACATATCAGTATGATGTAACAAAGATTCAAATAAAGTTAGAAATAGGGAATGATGTTGCAAAACAAATTTTAGAACACCAAAAGCATATTAGCATAAGCTTATACTGTCAAGATTTAGTGACTCAACATAAGTTCGTGTTAATTACACTGAGTTTCATGGTCTAAATACACTGTAGATTGACAGGTCGATGTAAGTGTATACCTAGGAGCTCGTCAGTTCAGGAACCAAACTTATTATTTTTTAGCGGATGCTGTTGATATTTTTTAAAATATTCAAAACTATATAAAGGTAATTTATGCTAAGAAACTCTCAAAACGAAATCTTCGATGAAAGTATATTGTAAAACTCCACTCCATGATAAATTCTGAGCGCTCATATACTAACTAATAACATTTCGATATTTCGTATGTATGCCTTGTCGATTTCCTAAACTTCAATAAAAGTCAGCCTACCAACGACTTATAAGAATAATGATATGTTTAATAACAAGCTACTGATATATAAAACAGTAATATCTGATGTCAACAACAAAATCAGAGTTTTGGGGTGAATCGAACGACGATGAAAATTCAAATAATCAGGACCTGAAATAGGAAGCATACATCATAGATACATTCGTTTTATCTCATATAGTCTGAGATAAACTAATAACGCGTAGGAATAAGACACTGTTTTTAACAATATGGTTTTGAATTGTGGCACTTATCAAATACTGATATACAATTATTTCAAGAAAATATCATGTTAGAGGACTGAGTTTAATTTACTCAAGACAATAATCCATCCGGTTTATAGCTTCGGTTTCTAGACCTTCTCATACTCGTGTTTGAAAGTCAGGCGTTTTATTGTTGCTACTATCATTAATTGTAGTTAATTTTCATATCCTGATGTAGTCATAGATCGACGTTTCTCTCTGTCATTTAAATACCGATAATTTTATCAACTATGATTGAAGTGGTTAAGAACTTGAGAATTTTTATTACATGGAGTTGTGGAGATTTTTGAATTTTATGGTGTACAACACGAGTTGGATTTATTCAGTAAAGGGATGAAAACCATGTTGAACTGAACAGTTGTTTTGTCCTAGTATGAGGCTCCTCAACCTCATCAGGAATCAAACCCAAGAGAATTAGGACTGTCAGACGGTGTTTAATCTGTAAAGCACTGGCTCAACATCCATTAGGGTAAATTTAAAATTCTAATTAATTTAAGTTATTGTTCGACCATCATTCGTTATGATTAATGATGCTTGTCTGATACCAAACACCTGAACCAGTAGATACCAGAAGGTACTCGCTTCAAAATCTGAAATTCCTGAGTTCAACTATACGTCTGCATTATTGAGGAGTCCTGTGTTATGGCGAAACAGATGTTCAGTACCTTCTGATTCTAGTAGTTGTCTAACTAACAACATTCCGCGACTAAATTATGTTATTATATGATTATTATTCAGTTTTGTTTGTAACATTGTTCATATAATAATAATAATAATAATAGTAATAATAATAATAGCAAACAGTTTTCTAATTTCAAGGTTCCAAATTTTTCACTTTTAATTGTCCTATACAGAAGGTTTGGATTGAGTCTGAATTGTCATGAGTTTTTATATCAACTGAAAAACAAGACAGCTATTGATGCTACCTAATTTACCCTCACCTATCAAAGTGGAGATTTGTGATATTATGGAACTTCGCATATACTTTTGTCCTATGAAGTATTTTTTTATACAGTTGTAGGAGTTGCTTTAAAATGAACAGGTTCATACCAAAAGAAAACAGAATACTAGGGTAAAACAATCTTTTATGAGTAGTATTAAATGAATCTGTATTACCCTCTTGAAGTTTACTATTTTCAAGTTCGTGTTCCAATGCTTTCTGTGGTGTTAAAACATAATTGTCCATTGAATCAGTCGTTTTTAATAATGAAATATGAACAGTATCGGTATTTTCATCAGGTGTAAAATCATAGATATCAGACCAATTGCAATTGAATATACTGAGACCAGATGCAGTGAAATGATCTAAAATTTATAAAAAACAATGAGGAAATAAATCAATGATGTTATCAGACACGTAGGTAAGAAATATCTAACTTTTTAATCATTAGCTTTACTCCTAACGTTTATTGTATGTATTTGGTATCTATGAAACTGAGGAATATGTTATTCGTTTATTTAGTGAGGTTAAAATATACAGACGATATCCGTGGACTGAGTGATAGTTCAGTGAGATCTTCCCTATTTTCAAATCTGTTCGTGAAATCAGTGCCTTTAAAATATTTTCGTATCTTAAAAACTTGGAAAAAACCAGTAGGAGTAGCTATCTAGATTTAATAAAGTTTATCACTACTATCTTTGTCAGCGTAAAATCTATTTAATATAAAGTGGTGCGAATCAACAATGAAACGGTGTGATATGTAGATGGGGGTTTTATAATTAGGACTAGTTGTGACATCTACTATTCCAGTGATTCCAATCTCCAGTTGATTATTAGTTCCCCGAAGTAATGGTGGATGCCTTCAAGATGTCACTGCCCAATCTTATGAACAATAGATCGCCCGTGAGGATGTAAAGACCCTTCAGGATTTAAGTATTTCATACTGAAATTACAAATTTTGTGTTTTTTAATTAAAGAAACTAAAACCAGTGAAACGCCTTGGTGACCCGCTGAAATATAAAACACAAACCTGTATTGACCAGGTTCTTTTATGCAGCCTGGAATACCTAAACTCAAATTTGTATTTTTAACTGCTGTTTGACCACTGACATGAATTGGTTGTATGACTTTACAAAACCGATTACCATGAAGCATGCCATCATAACCATTAATAGTAGTAATAAACAGAAAACGGATAGGTGGTTCGCACTATAGGGTTTATTTGCCAATCAAAATGTGAACTTATATGATTTTCTAAAAAGCATGATGTTATTATATCTTTATTATACAGCAAGAGGCGAATCGCATTTTATGTGGATTACTACAGTAAAAGAAAAACTTTAATTGCTTATACACGTAGGTTTACCTGAAACTAGCATGAAGAATCGGTGGATTGATTGAGGAAGGCAATATAATATCCCTATCAAGCAAAAGATATTTCTCTATTTGAACCACTTTAGAAAATTATTAACTGATAATCAAGAGGATAAGAGTTTAAGTCCTTTAAAAGTTATCAAAAAGCAATTTTTTACTCAAAACAAAAATACACTCAATATAGCAAAAGGTCTTTGACTGCATATTGTGAATAAGTAAAACATAGTCACAAATTCCTAGGCATTAAAGTCGGTCAGATGCGATAAATTTTTTATCAGAAGAAGACAGATTACAACAACTAGAAAAACGGAAACTAGTGGTCATAGTACGAAGGGACTATCGGAGGTAAAACAATCTACAAAGTGGTAGATAAAATTAATAGGGTGCTAATGGGTAGCAGTCGCACACTGGCAGATCCTACCTTCTAAACCTGGATAGCTGCACTGGTAAGGACCAAAGGTAAAATTCGTGCAAGATTCAATAATAGGTTCTGTTGAACACGCCAAAAAAACAAGTGCGTCATGGCAATCTCTCGATCGGAACTGTTGACATATAGTCGCTACTACACACCGTCGGCAGTCTCTTATGAAAAAACTGAACGGTAAAAAAGCCATATGTTTACCAGGTTTTTACAGGCCCTGTTATGATTGTGCAGTCTGAACAGTCATCAACTGTGATTGTCATCGAGTGATCTAGGAGGTAGATGTACGAATTCTGGAAATATATTTATAAAATAACTGTACCCACTTTACAGTTTTGGATTAAAAATTGCTGTCCGTTTATGTCGCCTGGAATTCTGCCATATATACCACTGCACTTGTCAGCAATTATAAAATCCTTAGGGTCTAGTTCAGACCTAACATTGATCATAGGTTTAGTTTAAATCATTATCACAGAGGTACCTGGAGTATGTTTCCACTCTTCCGTCTTTAGGGAGAAGTTTTGAGCCATTTTCTAATCTTGAGCGGTAAGATCTACAACAAAAACACAAAATGTTCATGTATTTTTGAAGAAGTGACAAATATTCACATAGGAGCAACCTAACCATTTACCTTACTAAAAGTGTGGAGTTCATTCAACAGATGCTTAATAAAAATGAAAGAATTAGGTATATTTGTCAGTGTTGTATTGTAAAAATCGTTTAATAATCCAGGCAGATTATACTACTGTTATTTTCGAAGACCTGTAACCATACCCAAAGAACAAGACTCGAGTGAAGAAATCCAGTGATTTAGGCTAGTTCGTGAAAAAGATATTGGATATTGAGAGGTTGAAAACTGAGGTCTAATCTTTCGTATGAAGTTGCATGGTAAGTAGTATATTGAATGTTTATAGAACTCTTATACCAGCGAAGGATTCTTTCAACGCGTTGGAGCTAGACTTGGCTTATGATATTAACAAACTTACTATTTCAATTTAGTTTATAATTTAGTGCTTGTTCCTGCATAATAAATCATCAAGTCTCAGGTATGCACGTTTTTCGAACGTGCATTTATATCGTTGTACGCGTATTCTCTCACCTAATTATTCATTGAGCACATGGAATTTTTATTTGTGTATTAGACTCAGGGCATCCACATTTACATATTCATCAGTGAATTCGCTTCTTATTCTTACTACCGATAGGATTTAAAGTTCTCCTCGTTTGGTATATATAGGTTTAGACAGATGTGACTGCTGAATTACTTCATGTCAGTACCTGCGAAAGTTGTCTAGAAGAGCTAAAAGGTCTTTAAATCTTGTAGAAATAATCACACTGTTTTCATCAGGGTAAGAAATAATTGTATCAAAGTCCCTCCGAGTTTGGATGATGTATAATTACTGAGAAGTGCTTTACATGAAGTACAAGGAATATTTCCATAAGCTAAATGAAACGATATTATGGAAGATGAGTGTTTAAAAGTAATCAGCACTCTACTGTGTACATTTGCTGGTAGTGATAGAAACTTTTATTTCTCCTTCTGAATGATCAATGGCTAAAAAAAGCCGGAATGTTGATGGTTTTATGATTTTTATTAGTGAACGGTGATGTACTGTAGCGAACCTGATAGGTGGCAGAGATTTGAAAAGAAAGGCTACACACTTCCACGACTACACCATTACCATCTCTGATAAGCCTGGGTAATTTTGAAATGACTGAATCGCTTAACACATCATGTGCCAGTATCGAATGGCGGATAGGCATGTTCAAACATTAGCGTCTTCATCATCACATAGGTGAACGCTTTTTAGAGCCTTTATTTTGGTTCCTATTTCATACATACTTTCTGAAGAGCACTATAATGTGCTTTACTGTAGTTGACTTTTTTTTTCTACCTACTTCTGCGAAATTTGATCAACAAGATCAAAAGACTATTTGAATTAATGATAAAAATAATTCCAGAAGATCCTGCTAGAATTCGGTCCGTGGTTACTTTTTCCTGTTCTATGCAACTTAGGCTACTCTTGTAGCAAGACACTGCCCACTGCAATTATCAATCCGTTGATATTATCTTAGTCTTAATGCTAGATCTCTGTTACCTCCAACAACATCTGAAACCCAACGTTAATAAAGATGATGAACCCACAGTTTAAAGATGTACTGATCATTTCAAATGTAATGGTATTATATTCAGAAAACGGTAATTCCATAATTCATGTTGGTTCAAATGAATGTTCAGCTTGATATATGCATAAGTGTTTGATGTAGCCACATGCCACATTGCTAGAAGTGTTCTAATTCACACATTTAACAGTAAATCAAGGCATCAGTCAAGAATTATTAATTCTTTTCAATTTCTCTTTTTAACTGTTTTCGGTTAATAGGTACTGAATGAACGGTATATTTATTGTCGTCCTCAGTATCATAAAGAATTGGTTGCGATAATCTACTACTAGAGAGAAAATAAGCTGGAAAAACATAAAACTATAGATTATGTTTCAGATTCCAGAATCTACAATACAGGAGTTGGCTCGAGTTACGACAGTCGCATTATGATGAACTACTAACGGCTGAGTACCAATGCAAGGCAAATCCAGGTCTGCATATAACGAGAATTGACGAGGTAAGTGTGTAATCATACTCTTGTTGAAATTCTCCAGATAATAAACTCACGGGCTCCTGTATGAAGTAACCAAGTCTTCGGAAATTATCCAGACTATTACTTCAGGATTGAAATAAGGTGCTGTAAAAGAGAAATAAAGAGAAAGGTGCAACGAGCAGAACAGAAAACATTTTCGTCATGACTCAGCAGATATTATTTTTGGATAAAACAACGGTATGATTACTCAGATCATTTTATATTCGAACACTAACTATACACCAGAACTTTTGCAGAATAATGAAGACAAGTCACTAGTAAGGTAACAAGTGGGCAGTTAATCGTATGAATAGAGGAAATTCAGAAGAAATGAATTGTTAGCAATAATGCTGATCGACAGAATATAATGATGAAGCACAGTGATTTGATACTTTGTGATATTTCCTCTATCCTTTTTATTTTTAACTCTGTAGCTCAGGAAGACATCAGTGAGATAATTGTCCAAATCTGTTTGTAATAGGATTTCTTGGTGGGAACTGAAACCAGTGCATGCTTACGAACATGAGTCGTAAACGTGGTTAACAAGGAAAAGTAACATCGTTCTGATACGCTGATATGCTTAAATGATATCACGAGTTCACTTTAATCGGAAAACGGAGTGAAGATCAACGATTCAGCGACACGATAGGCTATTCTAATCTGATGGTCCCAGGCCCCGCTAACTAGAACAAGGAGTCTTGATAAGGCGCAGAGAATGTATTGTACAGGCACCCAGAAACACACAACTCAAGCTTATTTATACAATTGGTGAAGCGTCCTTGGTGAGAGCCACAAAATAGCGTACTAAAGTAATACACCAACCAATAATAGTCGAAGGTTTTCCGAGCGGGAGATGTAAGCTAAGGTTCAGCCAAGCGTCTTCAGGGTGAAAACATGGAAATTCAAAATTTCCGAATAAAATTACAAAATTAGGGGGGGGGATCTAACGTCCCTCACCGATAAATCCTGCCGTATCGTAAGGAGCTGTAAGCAAACAAAATATTCTGCACCACAGACATGGGTAGATTGAGATTATCGCCCCACTGTCATGAATGTTAGTCAGATACACAAACCCTTTTTTTGTGATGTTAGGCTCTTTTAGGTTTAATAGCAGATGTCGAATAAATTTGTTTAGTCTAAGCTCTATGTTTTGCGCACCTTGTCGGAGTAGACTCTCGCTACTAGCCCGACGTAACACACTAACCAGAAAACTTCGGCTTCTGAATGCTGAACTAAATATCAAGGTAGAATATCACACTGCTATTAAGTTAACTGATGGTATAAACTGTGAGATATGGGTAAGTTAATAGGTAGTTTTTGAGATTGGAAGGATAAGTAACTTAAAAAAGAGGAAAGACAGTGTTAATAATTCATGAACAAGGCGATAAACAGGCAAGAAATCAAGGCGATTGGATGTTAATGAATTGGGGAAATAAAACTTTATTAAACGGACTTACCTGCCTGTGAAGCGTGTCTGGTTGATGTGACTGACATTTAAAAAAACCGTAGATTTATCTACTTCTTTCGGAAGACTTCTCATGAATTGCCGAAGATCAGTTCCTCGGTAGTATCTGGCGTTAAGCAGACTGTTAACAACTCATGTCCGGGTGAACAATTTTTCGTTTGAGCAGTTTTTTTATTTCTTCTGTTTGAAATTTGGAGTTTCTGTACTGGAATATTTTATTTACACACCATGGACCTTGATATCGTAACAGTAAGAGAAGTGACTATTGTTTCTATGGCTTTGAAATTTTAGGATCGCACGCACATCTATGCACTCCGATTCCGTGGTCAGCAGGATGTAATGCAATAAATCAGAAGTATCTTCATCGGCCACTAGGGGAAGTTGTCCTTGGAGTATTATTAAAATTTCAAGGCCCGGAATACATGTTTAACAAACATAGGTGAGGAATTCACGAGTTAGAGCCAAAGATTCATCATCGTTTACCGGTAAATCACACTCATGAATAGAAATTGTATAATGAGTAATACTCGAAATAGAAGCTGCAGTAGGTTTAATTATGGTATTACGATGTAATGACTTCAGATGATTAATTTGATACAATTAGTGTCAACAATGAAATCATGAAAAGAATTATCACAAGAATATAGTTGCTTTTAAATGTGAAGTGAATTACTCAAAAAAGTTAAAAAGCCTATGATGTTATTATTGAAATCGCTGAACGTAATAAGATCCGAATTACATTTATTACTATTAATAGTGATGAAGCGAACAGGAGCTCTACTCATCTACCTGTATACAATTTCGTCTACATGACATTAAGGTTAACTTAAAGTTCTTTCGTTGATTTTATATTTTATCGAGACGTCAGTTAAAGTTCAGAGAACGAAACACCACCAAAATCATCCACATGAGCTACAAATTTTATCCAACGTCTCACTGACTTTTCTTATCTGTACTTGATTCACGGATATACTATATGTAATGACAAGGACGTAATTGGTCTCTAGTGGTAATCATAGTCAACCGCGACCCGTCACATTACAAGTGGTAAGCCACGACGTTTCGAACACGTGCCAAAACATCTGCTGACGTTTATTTACAAGGTAAGCCGATTACGGTGGGTCTGTTATTCATCTACCCCATTTTTGTATACCTGTCTGTCGCATATATTATGTCGATATCGTTAAATACATATTTTACTTGCAAGTACGTTTCGAAATTGTGAATGGCTATGATATATTAGATCCTGAGGTGCAGGTCGCTTATTTTACGTGCATGATTATCGCGCTAGCGAGAGGTACCTAGTGGCCACAGGTGCCCAAGTTCATGTCGTACCAGCAAGTCCCAGGTTAAGATGCTTCGACCACGAGCTGCGAATGGCTCTGTCATTCCTACACGACAGCTAACGACCATCCTGAATATATGACGACAGTATATATGGACGTTCATACCTGCTGACGTTCCCATAGCCGTGTTCGGCAATG